TCTCTTGTATCCAATCTTGTATCAAAACCACAAATTGGTACCTGCAAGTTGCTAGTAGTGTTGATTACTCCTTGTAGTTGATGCTAATTGGTTTACTTGGTGGAAGATCATATGTTCAGATCCTTTATGCATATTATTACTCCTCTGATTATGAACATGAATATGCTTCGTGAGTAGTTACGTTTGTTCCTGAGGACATGGGTGAAGTCTTGCTATTAGTAGTCATGTGAATTTGGTATTCGTTCGATATTTTGATGAGATGTATGTTATCTTTTCCTCTAGTGGTGTTATGTGAACGTCGACTACATGACACTTCACCATTATTTGGGCCTAGAGGAAGGCATGGGGAAGCAATAAGTAGATGATGGGTTGCTAGAGTGACAAAATCTTAAACCCTTGTTTATGCGTTGCTTCGTTAGGGGTTGATATGGATCCATATGCTTAATGATGTGGTTAGGTTTACGTTAATACCTTCTTTTGTAGTTGTGGATGCTTGTAATAGGGGTTAATCATAAGTGGGATGCTTGTCCAAATTAGGGAAGTAGCTAAGTACCGGTCCACCCACATATCAAATTATCAAAGTACCGAACGTGAATCATATGAACATGATTGAAACTAGCTTGACGATAATTCCCAATGTGTCCTCGGGAGCTCCTTTTTCATTATTAGAATTTGTCCAGGCTTATCCTTTGCTACCTAAAGGATTGAGCCACCTTGCTGCACTTTATTTACTTTATTTACTTTTTGCTCGTTACTATTTATCTTATCACAAAACTATCTATCACCTACTATTTCAGTGCTTGCAAAGAAAACCTTATCGAAAACCGCTTATTATTTCCTTCTGCTCCTCGTTGGGTTCGACACTCTTACTTATCGAAAGGACTACGATAGATCCCCTACACTTGTGGGTCATCAATTACTATTGCATTTTTTGCATTTTTACCCCACATTCGAAACGGGCCTTCCCTGAGACACTTTAATGAGTTGGACCAACAATTAATAGTAGTCCTTGACGACCTACGTCCCCTTCTAAAACAACAGCCGCACCCCTAACGAGCTTAGAAATTTGTGAGTCCTCAAAAGAGCATAGAACCGAGTAGTTGGGAAATGGTTTACCTGGTTTCTTGAACTTGTTTCCCGCGGTGAGGTGTTGAGCTTGAGGGAGGTAGTTCGTTGAGCCTCTTCTTGAACCCTTGTTTTTTCGCCTGCATTACTATTACACTGTGTTTTTTCATACCCTGCCTTCCAACCAGGCCCTCACCGCGACACCATGAATTGGACCAACGATTATAAGGATACTACAGTTTTTATGATTACCATATTAAATTACTGTGAGCTGTTTGACAACCATACAAAACTGCAATATTAATACAATAGTATTCCCTAAACCACAGTATTTTCTCTACATGAAAAAACAACCATGAACCTCTTTTTTCAAAACAGAGCACCTGAAAAAGAAGCCCATCCTTAGCCACCGCCGCCACCCTGTCGTCCGTGGAGGGTGTCTTGGTCGCCGACCATGAAGAAATCGAAAAGGTTCCTCCTGCTGTTTGCTCCAATTTTTCTTGAAAGTCATGTCTGTCCAATCCCTTTTTCGCTTTGCATGACGGACTGGCCTGTCCGGGATGACGAAGCCGTTTTTGTCCATGCGCCGCTCCGCTTTGCGTGGTGCGCCGCCGGCATAGCCGTGTTGCAAAGTGTCAGGTCCTTGCTCCGCGCCAGGACGTTATACTAGTTCGATTGCATCTTGGTGAGTGTAACATCGAGCTTGTCCGTCCGTTCAATTAGTCAGTGGTTGCACTAGTTTGTGCATGTTGGTGCTCTGTGCATGGCTGTTCATCAGCTTGCAACTCTAGCTAGCTAGCAACACGAGCGTTTGCAATTTTAGTTGGTGCATATAAGTTCTTGCCAAATAGGTCCACAATGTTTATAATACTTTAAAATACTTTGTTATATCAAAATTGTGGTTTTTAGTGATAATCCATTTCTGAGCCCGGGCTCAGCTGCACCCACCCCTACGAAAAAAAATCAAATCAAATACTAGAAAATTTCAAAAAAAATTCTAATTTTTTGTGTGGTTGATATTTTGAGGCGTGAGCTTCGCTCCAATTTTCAAATCATTTGGACATTTGAGCAGCTGTTGGCAAAAAAAAAACAAATCCAGGGCCTGTAAAAATGTTTACGGTTCACGCACTCCCGATTTGTCTTTTTTATTGAGAGCTGCTCAGATGTCCAAATGATCTACAAATTGGAGCGAACCTCACGCATCAAATTATCTACCACACAATTTTTTTTGGAATTTTGCTAGTGTTTATTTTGAATTTTTTACTGACCAGGTGCAAATGAGTCTGGGCACCGAAACGCTGCACTCGGTTTTTAGTACCTACAAGTTAAATCACTATAGTTTTCAATACTTTGGTTTTTACAATATACTTTGCTATCAAAGACAACCTAAACTGTAATTACACAGTGATATGTACTGGAATATACCCCCTCTGTCCCATAGTATAAGAGCGTTTTTTACATTAGTGTAGTATAAAAAACGCTCTTATATTATGGGACGGAGGGAGTACATCGTTATTAGTACTAAAAGATAAAGAGTGAATAAGTGACTAAGATTAAGCTTACACATAAGGTTGTTGGTGGTGTCCAATACTCCCTCCATTTCCTTATACAAGGCCACTGTAAAAATACATTTTGCATCTATACAAGGCCATTAACAGTAATCGAGGCAAAAATTAATGATGTTTTCTCGTACTAGCAACTTATTTAATACTTGCATGCATGTAGTCATAATGACGATGTACTACTTCCTTCCCATTCCTTCCTTGCATACATGTAGGCGTATTAATGATTTCCATTAACGAAATAAAGGTTGGCTTGCAAAGCACATTAAATTTTATCTTGGTACCTGTAATTTGAGTTTGTGGTCTTGTATAAGGGAATGTAGGGAGTAATACGGGTTGATCTCAGCTTGATACCTGTAATTTGAGTGTGTGTCCTTGTATAAAGGAATGGAGGGAGTAATACTGGTTGATCTTAGCTTGGTACCTATAATTTGAGTTTATGGCTTTGTATAAAGAAATGGAGGGAGTAATACGGGTTGATGTCAGCTCATGCCACAATGTTGTTGTCTTAGCTTTGGTGAAAGGATGTGGTAATATTGTGGCCAGAGACAGCTGTAACCTGCCTGCAAACCATGATTATGGTTAACTAACAGCGGAAGGAAAGACGGGTGACACAATGATTGTCTTCGTACAAACTAGTACTACCTCTCTCTCAGTTTACAGGGCGTGCGCGTACCCCTAGATCGTCAATTTGACCAACCTAATACAAGTCATATATTACAAAAAATATACCAACATAAACTTCGGAGTTTCTACTTTCAAAAGGTATAATTTTTGTGATATATAGTTTATATTATGGTGATAAAATTAGCAACCTAGGTATATGCATAGGACTTGTAAACTGAAACGGAGGTAGTACAAGGTGCCATGGATCGTGAAAGCCAACGATGCTTTCCCGGTAGGAATGCAGCAAGTGGAGATCCTCTTCATTTTCACGTACCACAGGGCACGGGCAGGTATGTAGGTATACCTATACATATAGTAGTAATAACATTTATTTTTCGCATGATAATACGTGTCTCATTTATATCATAAGGATCATAGCACTTTTTTTATTTACAATAGGAGCGTCGTCGTGTATCGATATGTCCACTGGACAGGTATCATTTTCTTTCTTCCAAGGGCGATCTGGCCTCCGCCGCCGTCCTCTGGCGGCTCCCCTCCGCCGACAAGGTCCCGGGGGTGAGGGGGATCGTCGGATCCACGCGTTTTGATCGTTTAGGCATTAGTAACCCAGGGTTAGGGTTGTTCATCGTCTTGACTTTTGCGATGGTGATGGCGGCGTCGAATAAAAAATCTTTGGATCCTTCCCCGACGAGGCGATCCGTGTTGGGGTTGGATTTGAAACTAGTCTGTTCAAGTAAGGGTGGTGTGGTGGCGGCGACATCCTCGTGGTGGACCTGTATCCTCGGACTACGCCATTGCGACGACGTTTACTTCAGAGTCGACACGGAGCTAGCAATGTAGTCCACAAGTAGATGCAGATTGTGTTATGCATCGACGACATCTGAAAGATGGTGGATTGCGTGATGGGTTTGTGGCTCGTGGCAAGGAGGTATGGTTTCCTCCTCTTACGTATTAGTCATGCAGGGTGCTAGATCTTGAGTTCGATGGAGTGTCCGGAGTGTTGCTTGGGTCTGATTCGTTTAACGACAATGACTTTGCCTTCATCGGCGAGCCACCTTAGATGATAATCAATTATGTTAATTTACTTACATTCTGGACCAATTCCACTTTAATTTACTTACGAAACTTCTAATAAAAATATAAAATAATTCACGGTCAAAATTGATGAACATTCATTTATATGATCGCATTATTATTGACAGATAAATTACAAGCTAATGTATTAGAATAGAATATTGATGCCCATTGCAACGTAGGGACATCTTTCTAGTCATGAAAGAAAGACACATAGCAGTTTACTTTTTATTTCGAGAGACAGAGAGAGGACGCGCAGCAGCTAGCAATGGCAATGCGACAACCCGATTTACTCCTCCATCCATCCATGTTTTCGTCGTCGCGGCGAGGGCAGGGCAGTCGCTCCCGGCAATGGCGACCGATGACGCCAAGAATGACCGCATCATAAATCGGGAAACCATTTTCTTTTGCTTTCTTCCTTCCCTCTCGGTTGTCGTATGCGCCCGCCCCGCCCCCGCCCCCGCCCCCACCACCCTCCTCCCCTCCCAATCTCCCTTTCTTATTGGCCATTTGGCCCCATGAAACCCCAAACCCTCGCCGGCCTCGCCACACCCGCCGCGTAGCACCGCACCATCGCGCCACCCCCCTCGCCTTCGTCGGGGAACCCCGCCACCGATCCCGCCCCGCCTCCTCCCGCCCGCGCCCGCGCCCACGCGTCCGATCCAGCCCTACATGATGAACGGGGCAGCGGCGCCCGAGCCCACGGAGGCCCCGGCCCCGTCCCCCCAGGTGCCGCTCGACTGGAGGTTCTCGCAGGTCTTTGGCGAGCGTGGCGCCGGCGAGGACGTCCAGGATGGTACCGATCGACCCCTCTCTGCTCTCTATTCTCCCTCCTTTTGGTTTCTTCGTCGCTGGTACCAGCTGGATCTCAGTGTTTCTCTGCTCCCGAGCTGTGTGTGAGGCCAGGAGCCGTGAATGGCTGCTTATCATGAGATTTCTGGGAAATTCCTGCGCGGATCGACCCACGAACTCGCCCGCTGTAGAGGTGGCTTCGGATGTCTTGTGCCAAAGCTCGATGCTTTGGTGCCGGGGACGTGGGATTTGTTGCTTCGTCTCCTTCAGATCAGTGATGCATCCTGTTGTTGATGCTGTTTAGGTAGTTTTCACTAGTACGTACATGTGTAGGCACCGTGCCATTCTGTGGAGCAGTCAAGGTCTTTCCATTAGAGGGTAGAGTAGTGTGTCATATACTGTAGGAGTCAAGCTGAATACCATAAGTTGGGCTGTGTATATGTAATAAGTTTTCATGGTTGCGTGTTTAGGTTGGCAATTGACTCTGACCAGACAAATGCATGTTGTCGTGCAGCGAGTGTCCAACAATCATGATTGTCTGTTCTTGTACTTCTGTAAGTTTAGTGATATGAAATAGGACGATACAATAGAGCTTGGGTTTGGGCGTACGCCTTATTATTTCTTGAAACAGTAGGCGGATGATAACAAAAATCCCAACACAGAATTCATGATTTTCAGGCAAAGATGGATGCGCACTGGAACATGTATGAATGGATTTTGTTTCTGTTCATTTTCATTTTCATACTTGATTATTGTTCATCTATCCCAATCTAGCTCGCCGCAGTGTCACTTGGCATACACCTAAAAGGTCAAACCCTTTTTAGGGAAAAGAAGGTCAAGCTCTTGATAGAACATGAGAATGTTGCCTGTGTTGCTTTGTTCTTCAATCTCAATTGCTAATTTCGCTAACTGCTTCTGATTGTCATATTTGTGAATCGCATGGATTTTTAAATGCTTGGTCATTTCCATTATGTTGGTCTGTAGCACTAGCGCCTGGTTTAACACAATCACTTAGTTTCGGTTAATATTGATCCTCAGTCTTTTTATTGTTTTGCTCGGCTGAATTGAACTTGTTATGAGTCAATCTACTGCTTCAGTGGCGGTGCTAGAGCAAAACCCTGTGGGGCCAACTTCTAAAAAAGCTTCCGCACTTGATGGACTTTGGTGTGTATATGAGCATATGAGCATGGTGGCAATGTTCTCAAAAACCTGTGATGCCAATTGACCACACAGCTCATGTAACACTGGCACTCTACTGCTTTCAAGTTACTGAAGGCTCGCAAACACTTGATGAAAACAGTGCTATTCTTGGCACCTTTTCCTTCTGTTGCATCTTGGCTTTGTAGGCTTTTAACCTTGTTTTTCTATGTGTTTGTTTGTGATGAAATTAATAAGTATGTATGATTGCATGCTATTATACATGTTTATCCCCAATGCTTCTTGTACGACCAAACATAGGCTGCCATAATATGGTACGTCTTCATATTAACTTAATCTTACTGTTTTTCGTATTGTTCTCTGCAGTTGACATCATCTCTGCAATAGAGTTCAATAAATTAGGACATCATCTTGCCACTGGAGACAGAGGTGGCCGAGTTGTTTTGTTTGAAAGGACAGATGCCAAAGATGTATGTACATAGAACTGACTTGTGTTTTGTGATAAAAAAAAATCAGAGGATGCATGTACTTCTGGGATTTTATTGTTGTGTTCGATGGCTGAATATTTTCTGTCTGTTTTTGTTTAGCACGTCTCTAGAAAAGATGCTGAGAAAGCCGATTATTCTATCAGCAGGCATCCAGAATTTCGTTACAAAACTGAGTTTCAAAGCCATGAACCAGAGGTATACCTTTATGAGAACTGTTAAGTGCAGCATTAGTTTTGTGAAGTACCTGCAATTTGACCAAGCGGTCTTGTTATGGAAATAGTTTGATTACCTTAAAAGCTTGGAAATTGAAGAGAAGATTAACAAGATAAAGTGGTGCCAAGAAACGAATGGCGCATCGTTTCTTCTGTCCACAAATGACAAAACGATCAAGTTTTGGAAGGTATGCTTTATTGAACAATAGCTGGACATTTCCTCTTAAAGTCAACTGCTCCACACCTTCTAGCTTGCAATTTCTTGAAAACCCTTTGTAGTCAATCTGCTAATATAAACAACCCTCCGGTGTTTTTTAGTTTGTCTGCTTGGTGTACATTTTTGCTTCATGTACATATGTCCGTGCAACCTATTGATGATTTTGTTTTGTTTTATGTTTACATTTTACACATTTCTCTGTGTGAATATGTTTTGGGTTACTTTATTTACCTACTCTTTTGAAGGTCTATTTACTTATTGGCATAGTAAGGTGCAACTGAGAAAGAATTTGTGCTTAATGAAGCTACCTTGTATAGGTCCAAGAAAAGAAGGTTAAAAAAATATGTGAGATGAATATGAACCCTTCAAATGCTCCTGCAAATGGTAGCCCTGTTGGCAGTACTATGTGTGGTTCAAGCGCACGTACTCCAAATGGTGGAATTTTGAAGCCTGGTGGACTTCCTTTACTTCGCCTGCCTGTGGTAGTTGTACTCAACTCAAATCTGAAGAAATATTTTTTGAACTTATCAGACACTACCATTGTGTTAATTTCTCGTCTTCTTGTTGAGCTGAACATGATCTTCATATGATTCTCAGTCTGATACCTGTCCTTGATTTTACCTGTATCTTCTTGATTTGCTACATTTACCTAACCATTCCTATACAACAGGTTACAAGCCAGGAAACAAGTCTCGCTGCAAATTGCCGTAGAGTCTATGCTCATGCACATGATTACCATATCAATTCCATTTCAAATAACAGGTCTTGGACACTACTCATGCTTAACAATTAGTTGTACCGTAGTTAATATTACAAAGTTGACTTGCAAACCTTACAAGCTCATGACGCCAACTTTGAAAGTATGGGTAAAGTTCACCCAAGTTGTTCTGCAAAATACACATTTATTTAGTCTTACCATATTTTTGTGTTTTGAGACTTCCATCTGTAGAATTTCATGTGTGGTTGGCTGTATGTTAGAAGGTAAAGCATTAGACTTCATATATATGCTTATGAGTTAATTTTATACATGCAGGGTTATACCTGCGAAAAATCATGCAGTGATATGATTAAATGTCCTCCAAAATATTGTGTGGTGCATGTCTGTTCATAAATCTGCATCTTTTTTTTGCTGGTGCACATAGTCTAACATGATGTACATATGTGCTTGTTTTCCGACTTTCTCAAGTACCTAAATAAAGTCACCCACCGTTGCATGTACAAACATAATTCTCTTTTAATGCATGATCTCCCACTTTCAAGGTAGTCATCGGGAGTATATACTTTACTGTTGTGCACCTTATGTACGTTGATTCAGCTTAGCTAAAATCTGTTCGTTTTTATGCAGTGACATAAATTGCTTCTTGTTCTTTCCTTCGCAGTGATGGTGAGACATTTATATCAGCAGATGATTTGCGGATAAATCTTTGGAATTTGGAAATTAGCAATCAAAGTTTCAACATTGTTGACGTTAAACCAACGAACATGGAGGATCTCACCGGTATTACTTCCAAATCTACAAACTCTTAGCTGTGCTTTCTAGAAGCATGCTTTGTATAGCTAAAGCTATATGTTCGAGAACAAAAACATTTATAGCCTCAACTCACTTAGTCAGAAAAAGATACCCTCCCATACAGCTATGATTGACTAGTTTAGTCCTCATGACATATACTACAGCTACAAGTGTTTATACGGTCCTGAGTCATGGGAACATTATTTCTTTTCATGTAAATAAGGAAATACAACAACAACAACAGCAACAACAAAGCCTTTAGTCCCAAACAAGTTGGGGTAGGCTAGAGGTGAAACCCATAAGATCTCGCAACCAACTCATGGCTATGGCACATGGATAGCAAGCTTCCACGCACCCCTGTGCATAGCTAGTTCTTTGGTGATACTCCAATTCTTCAAGTCTCTCTTAACGGACTCCTCCCATGTCAAATTCGGTCTACCCCGACCTCTCTTGACATTCTCCGCACGCTTTAGCCATCCGCTATGCACTGCAGCTTCTGGAGGCCTGCGCTGAATATGCCCAAACCATCTCAGATGATGTTGGACAAGCTTCTCTTCAATTGGTGCTACCCCAACTCTATCTCGTATATCATCATTCTTGACTCGATCCTTCCTCGTGTGGCTACACATCCATCTCAACATACGCATCTCCGCCACACCTAACTGTTGAACATGTCGCAGGCCTTTTAGTCGGCCTACACTCAGCGCCATACAACATTGCGGGTCGAACCGCCGTCCTGTAGAACTTGCCTTTTAGCTTTTGTGGCACTCTCTTGTCACAGAGAATGCTAGAAGCTTGGCGCCACTTCATCCATCCTGCTTTAATTTGATGGTTCACATCTTCATCAATACCCCCATCCTCCTGCAGCATTGACCCCAAATATCGAAAGGTGTCCTTCTGAGGCACCACCTGCCCATCAAGCCTAAGGGGCTGTTTGGATCATTGCCTCAAGGCGCCCTGCCAAAATATTGGTAGTTGACCAACTCTAGGTATCCATTTGGTTGCATGCCAAATAATTGGCACGCCCACGCCTCCACAACATCTCTAGTTCAATTCTCACCCAATATTTTGGCAAGGCATGGGCGGCTGATTCCTGCGCCAATATTTTGGCAAGCCAACGATTGGCAAGGCTGGCGCTGGCTCAAACCAAACAGACCCTAACTCCTCCTCCACCTAGTAGTACTGAACCGCACATCATGTAAATAACGAAATAGTCAACTAAAATTGGTTATAGGTGAAATGGATGCATAGTTCTTACTTCAAACACGGGTTGTAGGTGTTACAGGTCTATCCTAATTGACCTTTGTATTTACATGTTCTTCAAGTTTTTGAGGTGACATCTGTTTGCTTAACATGTCTCTGGCAGTTACGTTTTTATTCTGTAAATCTGCAGAGGTTATAACATCTGCGGAGTTCCACCCTTCTCACTGTAATACACTGGCATATAGTAGCTCAAAGGGCTCCATTCGACTCGTTGACCTGCGGCAGTCAGCTCTTTGTGATACTCATTCCAAACTGTGAGCTTCCATTTGACTTGTTCCTTTTAATATTTCAATATTCAGTACTATGTTTAGAAGAACAAACGGTGGACATTGATTTGTTAGCACTGTCTCAAATTGATCATCTTAAAGTTGCCTTTTGCTCTTGTAGCTTTGAGCAGCATGAGGCCCCAGGTTCAAGATCCTTTTTTACTGAGATTATAGCCTCAATTTCTGACATAAAGTTCTCCATGGACGGGAGACATATTCTTAGTCGTGACTACATGACTTTGAAGGTCTCTTTCTGAAACTTCTTTGCGTGACTGCTTTAAGTTTCATAATCAGTTCATTTGTTGACCCCCACCCTGCACTTCCCTTTGTTTCCTCAATTAAAATGAAGGTAGTTGATTGCATTGTAATCCCTGATACAGTATAACCAAGTTAACATGTCTACTGTAGAGATATTTTTATTTTCTTTGTAAGCTGATATTGAAGGTCAACCCGTAGGTTCTGATTGAGGTGACCCTTTATATATACGCAATTCACTCTTCACAAATCAATCATAGTCATGCAATCACCAATGCACCATGACTGTGTCTATCTTTGTAATACTTAAATTATTTCTTGTACTTAGTAGTTCATTTCATCATGGAAGCTGCTGCTCTATAGAACTTAGGTAGTATACTACTACATTTAGCTATGTAAGCGTTATCTATCTGCAGTAACCCAGTAGCAATCATTTTGCAAACAGTTCTATTTTGGTGCTTTACCACGATTAGATTGTTTATCTCCTATTACAGCTATGGGATGTTAATATGGATTCTGGTCCAGTTGCAACGTTCCAGGTTCACGAGTACCTAAGGCCTAAGGTAATTTCTCCGATGTTAAGATCTATGATTTGATAGTTCTTTGAGGATGATGAGCAACACATATTTCTCTGGAGTAACTCTATTTCACGTGTTTTCTTAAACTGCAGTTATGTGATTTATATGAAAACGACTCGATTTTTGACAAATTTGAATGTTGTCAAAGTGGCGATGGGTTGCGAGTAGCAACTGGTTCTTACAGGTAGGTTGGTATGCTCAGCTCCGTTGTAGCACAACTTAGTTTCCTTCATGGAATTAATGGTTCGTTAATCTGTGTTCCTTCAGCAATATTTTCCGAGTGTTCAATTGTGGTGCTGGTGGCAGTGAGGTGACAACACTTGAAGCAACTCGAAACCCTACAAGGTAATTAATTCCTCTTTTCACATCATATAAATCAGTGTATGTTCGCTGCTACTATGCGTGCTTGTGAAATTGATTGTTTGTTTACCAATGGTTGCTAAAATAATATACCATGGTGCTAGGGCTTCTTGATTCCATCGTTTTTCCTACTTGTGCAGAAGGCAGATTCAGAATCCCGCACGGCCTGCGAGATCTCTAGGTAGTCTTACAAGGGTTGTTAGACGAGGTTAGCTTTATTGCAGCTATTTATGCTTCGTACTTGAGCTGCAGAGGCTTTTCATTGCAGCTATGTATATTGTAAATCTTATGCAGGTGCAGAGAACACTGGAATAGATGCGAACGGGAACTCCTACGACTTAAGCACAAAACTGCTCCATTTGGCATGGCACCCGTCCGAGAATTTAATTGCCTGTGCTGCAGCCAACAGCTTGTACATGTACTATGCGTAAAACACGGGAAATGAGCGAAGGGACAGTATTTTTTGGTAGCTGCTCCCGGCGAGAAGAGGAGTTACATTATCCCTGGTGCGGCAAATCAGGGAGATGGTGTATTTTGGGCCAGTCACATGCTGTTCTTTTGAGTTCCATATATAGAGCTGTCCAAGAGTCCAAGAGGAAGTGACTGGATCATTCCCGGGAAGCAGCTTGATTCTGATTATTTTTTTATTTTATAGGGGAAAGGCCTGTCTTTCCCCTATAGGTTCATTTAGGTTTAAGATAAGATTCTGGTTCACCATTTGGAAGGAACAAAACTTTTGGGCATCTCCAGTAGATGACAAGGGGATGACCTGCCGTTGCGATGGAATCGTGGGGCTTGTAGCATCAGGGGCATTCATGTTTTTGATAATTTTCTATTTCAATAGTGACCTTTCTCATTCCTCCCAGCGTCAGTACAGACACCGTGCTATACGGAAAGTGATGTCTACTGCACCTGTTCTGCGATGTCCATTTGTTGTGTGAGCAGAAAAGCTATGCGAGTCCCATGTTTTTTTTGTCGCATCACTCACAAATACTGATATCATCCTGTAGGCTTGTTTCTTTATAACTCAAATGCCTTCAAAAGTACAAGCATTTGAAATTAAAGTCATTCCTATCTGAGTTCCAAAAGGAGTTTTTTTTTCTTTTCGAGAGAATCCAAAAAGAGATCGGCACCCTTTTTTTTTTCTAGAGATCAAGAGATTGCCATACCCGTACGTGGAAGATGGACTGACTATGACCGGGATCAATGCTACAAAAAGGATGTCCAAGAAAAGATATCAACCACGTGGCATGTATGGTAAGCAATTCAAACTAATCCAAAAGAAAAGATACAAACGACTGGTTGTGTGGGGAAGTCTTCTTATATGCAGGAAGGACTACATTGTCTACATTTTCAAAACCGAGGTGGTCTACACCACCTCGGAGGCCATACGACAGAAGAGCGGCTATGTGGTGACAAGTTTCGTTGAGCCAGTTTCAAGCCGGTGACTGAAGATGCCGTGCAACTTGGATGACCCGAGGCGCAGCCAAGTTTGAAGACCGCTTCAGGGGCTACTATCGGCATCCCGGCCGAGGGGGTCCTCGCCATGTCGAGTCCCGGCTTGGTGGGTCGTGACCCCCTAAGTCGGTTCTGTCTTGGGCCACTTTGGATGGGCCATAGCTGATTGCATGTAGATTCTGGAAGGCTTGGAGTACAAGTCGAATACATCAGAGCCGTGGAGGACTGTGACAGAGTCGATTCCGGTAGATCTCGGGTAGGGGGTCCCGAGCTAGTAGCCTAGATGCAATGGTAACAGGGACACATGATTTACCCAAGTCCGGGCTCTCCGAGGAGATATGTCCTGCTTATGTTGTACTCCCCCCGTAAAAAAAATAAGAGCATTTAGATCACTACTTTAGTGATCTAAACGCTCTTATATTTCTTTACAGAGGGAGTATTGATTTGGGATGGAGCGCAAAGCACAAGTTGATCTACCCTGAGATCAATGATTTCATGTACGAGCCCTGTCCCCTGGTTTATATAGATACCAGGGGTGGCTAGGGTTATACCAAGGTCGGCTATGTATAAGGTAATTGTGTTGTAGACGACATCTAAGTATTTGGAGTAGGCGCCAAGTCTTCGGAAGTATTCCTTCTTCAAGCCATGGTCCGCCTTGATGTGGTCCACTAGTGAACCGACATGGGGTCCTCGGCCCGGCCCACCTGGCCGGGACACGACATGGTGAATGACCCCAATTCTGAGACACCATCAGTAGCTCCTAAACCAGTCTTCAAGTTTGGAGACATCCCTCGGATCTTCCGAGCTCTTCTTCGTCTTGGGTCATCGGTCTTGAAAACTGCTTCAACGAATTCCCCCTACGTCCGATGTCTTGTTTGTCCAAATGTATCCGAAGAGTTATCACGCCCTCTCTACATTTTCCAGTGAGTTCTTCGTCGTCTCCTCGCTAAGTTGGATATCGGAAATTTTTTCGCGCAACTTTTCCTTAGTCGCTAAGTATTCCCGCGCTTGACCCGTGATGATAGCCTAGCCTGGTTCTGACAGCACAGACCAGTCTCATCTATCAAACCACGTGGCTATGCAACGCCACTGACTCGTCGGTCAATATAGCGTGCGTGAGTGCATTGTGGCCCCACCTTTGTCACGTCTTATAGTAAAGAGATTGTGTGCCTCGATATGGTCATTTAATCAACCGCCCCCACAATTCCCGTGTGTGATTATAGCACGCCGCATGGGGGAAACACACGATTTATTGTCACGTGACGGAATTACCCTACCGACGCTTCACATTTACCACTGCCTATAAAAGGCCAAGCGTAAGGAGGAGCCAAGTTTATGCTCCCATTCCTTCTAGCTCTTGTCTTCTTCCTGGAGCTCCTGGGCCCAAGCATCCGCTGTTCTTGAGCCCGAAAACTTCCACTAAGCCTCCCATTCCACCTACCTGCATCCATGGCTGGCAAGCAAGCCCAGGCGATGAAGGCCTCCAAGGCCGAGAAGTAGGTGGCATGGGAGGCATCGACGGCCTCCCACACAAAAGGGCGATGGAAGGGCACCACGGTGTCACAGGAGCCGATCGCGCAGCTCTCCAAGGCTGGGTACTTGCCAGCTCTGGAGATCGCTCTGGCCCATTCTACTCTGACCAACGGTGAGGGCGCCCCCTATATATATTATGTCATTGTGCTTCAACCCTGCATGGGCGAGCGGGTAATTTTGGTCTCACATCTCCTCCGCGGCCTCGGTTTCCCTATTCATCCTTTTCCCAGAAGCCTTCTTCACTTCAATTCCACCACCTAGCCCCAAACTCCATCTTGCACATCACATGCTTCATCACATTCTATGAAGCCTTCCTCTCATGTGAGCCAAATTTCGAGCTATGATGCAAATATTTCACCGTCAAGCTCCAGACCAATGACCACGAGGCGTGCGAGTGCGGGGACACCATGATCAGCAAGATCCAAGGCACTGGATGGCTGAAAGGGGCTTCATCGACACAATGAAGAACTGGCATGAAGAGTGGTTCTCCATCTCGGATGTGCCACTAACCGACCCTCCTCGGGCGGGGATTGCCACCCTCCTTGGGCGAACTACTGTCCTGGAATCCAAAGTACATTAATTGGTCAGATTACGAGGAAGTGTGCATGCTCACCAAAATGGTGACTACCATCCAAGATCATGGGATCACCCTCGTCAAGGTGATGCATGTGGATGTAAGCCAGGACATCCAACCCCTCCAAGACCGTGCCCACTCCATGTGGGTTTATACCCGGGAGTACGACGACACGCGGGCTATCCACGGTGATTTTTATGGAGGCAAGTCCATGCAGGAGATGTTCTCCTTGTTGTTCAAGGGAAAGGTCGTATACTTCCTGAGGTAGGTATGATACTGGGTCAATGACCTTCCGGGGGAGTTATGTTACTGACTCCTTCATTTTTTAGACATTGAGGTCCTCATAAAGAGTATGATTACACAAATAATATGGCTGAAGGCCATCTAAACTAAATAACTACGGAAGCTTCAAAGGTAAATGAGTCCATCAACTCCAACGGCATAGCTGAGTGCAAGACAACGACCTATCGCACCTTATTCGTCGTCTAAGAAGTCTGCAACATGAGACATTGTAGCAGTGTAGGTCAGCATATTGAATATGCTGGCAGAGTTACACTATAAAGCAATGAATGCAAGAACTACATCTACATGCAATATTTGGCTGGTGGAGTCTCTAAGTTAAGGTTTTGCATAAAGCTAGTTTTTCCCTACAACAAAGGAATAAATGTTATTTACTACTCCCAAGTTGTTCCAATATTTGAGAAGGTTCCTCCAACTCAAATCCCAATTAAACAAGTATCATCATTAAACCCAATTCAATTAATTTAAGAGTGATGAGATCAACAATAGTATCCAATTCTAGATACTCAAAATGTCCATAACCGGGGACACGGCTAACCATGATTAGTTTATACACTCTGCAGAGGTTGCACACTTTTCCCCACAAGACTCGACCGCATCCATGATCGGAAGATCGAGACAATCTTTTTGAAGCATTAACTCTCTACTCCGGACAGACCGGTACACCTACTTTCCCCTACATCTGTTAGTCCACCTCTTCGAGAGCTCATACAACTTACTCAACTATGCCAGAGCCCATAATGGCTTGTGGTTGCACACGGAAGTTTCTACGCATGAAATATCATATGATCCCTTTGAGCCTGGGTGGCGAACTGAGGAAAAGTCACACGGGTACTCCGGGGTTTCCCAAAATGGACAAACAGTGGATTCTCCAGGTGCCCCAACCAATCCACCCAGATGTGTATTAAATTTTCCACCTTAATGTTATCCAAGATTAATAACTCTCACAACTTCCATGTGTATCACGATCCAATCCCCGTCTACGAGCATGGTTAAGCAATAACTGAGCATAACATATATTCCCGGGGTGATCAGAAGGTAGTAGGTTTCTACCTCAAGTACTACAACCAAACCACATGTTCCCAATCCTACTTATGCAAATATTTGAGGGGCAATACTAATGCATAGTAAAAACTGGGTATAGAAGAGTATGATCAAAGTGTAACTTGCCTTGCTGACGATCTACAAACTCTAGAGATTCGTAGTAACAAGCTTCGCACTCCGAATAATCCAGCGTAGACAAACAGTAGCATACATAAGCAATCACTCAAACGAAACAAAAAGAAATCGAGAAAAGATCCAAATAAAACTCAAAACAAGCAACCGACTAAACTAAACAGAAAACAAAACCTAACAGCATTATTTTCATGTGAATTAGATCTTAACAGTAGGTACATGTGATTAGCTACGATTTGCAAAAAGAATCAACTCAAACGGAGCTACGAAACTCAAGATACAAACGAAACAAGATCAAATACTAATCTGAACTAAACTCAAATTTTAAATTGTCGAAATCATGTTACAGTTTGTTTACTGGAAAGAGGGGATCGTTACGAAGATTTAGGC